ACCATCATAAGCCAATACGTCCTTCCAACGCTTTAATCCGAGCAGTGCATTATCGTCCGCCATCGCCCGCCAGCAGCGCAACGACGGTCCGCACAGCATTTATCGGCGTCTCCTCTTTGCGGACCATGTCTCCAAACACCTTGTGCAGCCCGTTCAGCGCCTTGCTGTCATCTGCATTGTGCCCTGTGCTTCGTCAGTCATTGCGTATCCGGCAGAAAGATTGGATGTACGACGTACACTTGCCCGGCAGCCCAGCCAACACCCCGACTGTGCTCTGCCCCTCACCCGTCCAATCAAAGTGTATCTTCCACGAGACGCGCAGCCGCGGCCAGTGCGCCTCGTCCACCGAATCATCGGGAATGGGCATGTCGAAAGATGTGCGGCCCATGTGGGCGATGAGATCTGTCCTCGATGGCCTTTTCAGCGCGTCGCCCTCGAGGTCTTCGTCCTCGTCATCGCGGCGGCGCTTCTTCCTGCGCCGTTGGCGGAGTTCGCGGGCGTTCTCGAGGAGCGTCTGCGGGTTGCTGGTCTCGGCGGCGAGGAGAGCCCAGAAGTGGGCGCGTTGCAGGGCGATGCGGTGCCACTCGGCCATGGACCAGGTGAGGAGGGTCACGTTGCGCTCAGTCGCCGTATTGGCGGCGCGGTCGCAGAGGGTGGCGATCCAGGTGCCTAGTTCGGGCACGGCGGAGGGATCAAGGGCGGGGACGGAGAGGGAGTCGACGCGGAGGGTGGACGTGTTGGCTACTAGCTCGATCCTGGCGCCGAAGAGACCTGGAGGGCTGGAAGACACGTTGATTATGTGTTGGCGGAGGAGGGGTAGAGAAGGATCTTCGCGGGGGAGAATGGATGTCGTTTGAGATATGGCGAACGGGGTGAAGATCTGGAGATGAGGAAGTTCTTCGGCGGCTGTCATTTGAATGGGGTGGTGAGATATGGGGGTGGACTCGCTTTCTGCGATTAAGGTCAGGGGAAGAGCTGGAGAGGCAAGGGTGAACCAAGATGTAGGGTCCATGGCAAGATCGAACAGCGGCTGCGACGTGTCTGGCGCTTGTGCTGTTTGCTCTGCCGGGAGGAGATGTCGGCTGAGCATGTCCAAGAGTTTCTCTTGGTTTGAGGAGCCTTGAGGCTGCTTAGAGCTCCCGCCGTACGCTCTGCTGCACTCGCACCCGCTCCCGCTCATTTTCAGCTGTGGCAAGCTCTAGATCGGGCTGAAGCTGGGTATCTCTGCTTGCAGCTTGTCCCGTTGCGCCCTCTGCTCACAATGTGGGTCAAACGGTGGGCACCCTGCGCGCAAGGTGCGTTCCGGTGCCATCATCTGGGCCTGGCTGCCTCTTCCTCGGACGCAGCGTCCTCTTCCCCTTCAAA